CATGTGTGCTCGTCGTTAGCCACGGGGCGCCCGTCCGGCTGGCCGGCCAGTCCGCAGACCGGCCCGGACGCCAGCGCCGCCCAGCGGCCGACGCGGCAAGCTCGCCGGCCGTCCAGCCAGCATGAATTGACCTTCGGCTGCAGGACCGCCTGACCGACCGGCGGGTTCGCGGAGCTTCGACGGGCTACGCCGTGACCGGCCGCGCCGCTGAAGAGCTCGCATCGTCAACCCGACGCCGCCGGTCCGTTTCACGAATCGGATGATGAACGCGGGGCCGTATCGAGAAAGGGCCGTGTTGGTGTGTGTGCCTCCGCCCCGTTGTGAGACTCCTGTCGTGGGACGGGCGCCACTCGCCAGCTCCCCTCTAGAGAGGAACGCAGAGGATGGCCGCGGCGGCTCAGGTTACCGACAACGTCTGTCCTGGCGCCGCCGCCGGTCTCTCTCTCTCTCTCTCTCTCTCTCTCTCTCTCTCTCTCTCTCTCTCTCTCTCTCTCTCTCTCTCTCTCTCTCTCTCTCTCTCTCTCTCTCTCTCTCTCTCTCTCTCTCTCTCTCTCTCTCTCCTATCTCTCCTCTCTCTCTCTCCCTCCCTCGTTCTCCCCTCCCCGCCGAGGGACACCTGTCACTCTTCAGAGAGCGTAGAGCCGACCCTCCTCCAGACGACATCCGCTGAGCAGGCGAGAGGAGGGGACGCGAGACAAGTGCGCGTGTCAGCCCGGCGGGCCCGGCCCCAGCGCGACGGGCGGCGCCTCGGGAACCACCCTGTCGCGGCTGGAGATAAAACTGGTCGGAGCGCCAGAGCAGCAGGGATGATACGAGAGATGCGAGGTGTACGTAGCACATCTGGATGGAAGGCTATTATCTCTGATGCCGATTTGCGCCGGAGGTAGGGTTGATGATGCAGGGGAGCAGCTCTGGGGCTGTTTTAGGACTGCATGTCCCTCGGTCTCGCCTCCTCACTCAGTCGTTCGTCTGGAGCCGGCTGCGCGGCCGCCATCTTACCGAGTCGAGCCGAGAGGGCCGCAGGTGTTTCGGCCACACCGCCTCTGCAGAGCGCTCGCTCGGCCGAGTGTCGCCTCTGCCCGCACCGTGCGCACAGCCGGCGCACACCCGTGCCAGAAACGCACGGCGGACGGCGCTACGCATCATGCCATCTGCCCTGACTGTTCTGACTCCTGATGGTCCTGGGGGTACTGACCGGTCAGCGTTTCGGCGTACTGTCGTGCATCTATCGCCCCTGCTCTGCCCACGCTCACCGCCCGGGAGCCCCCCCCCTCCCTCCTCCCCGGTCGGCGCGGTCCAACCGCCCGCCCGCTTTCATTCACCGTCACGATCTGCGCCGGCTGTGAATGGAATTCCACCGTCTCGCTCAATGGAAGGACGAGCAAGAAAGGCGGCCGACCGCAGCGGCCGAGTGCGGGGGCACGAACCTTCCGTGGTCATCGGCAAGGCCGAGTCGGATCAGCGCAGCTCCATTCATGGAGCTGAGCGGCGGCCGGCACAGCCGCCCGGCTCGCGCCCTCTCCGGCCCAGTCCGTAATTACACCGTCCATTCATCGGGCCGGAATTTCAGGGGCATCCGACCTATTTTCGTTGGGCGGCCTGCATCGGCTTCTCACGGCTCTCTGTTGGCGCCGGAAACGGCTCATCAGCTCCAGAGGAAGCGTGCTGGCGTCTGGCGGCGGCAGCGCCGGTGGCTGGACCGTGCGCGCGCCGACCGGCATCCGGCCGGCTCGACCGACCGACCGTTCCGGGAACAACTGCGCAACAGGCAGCAGCAGCAGCGGAGGCAGCGGCCGCCGCGCGGCGGACCGACGGCTGCCGCGCCACCGCCCCTATCGCTATCTGCCACTATCACGGGCGTGAATCACAGACGGCCTGAGCAAACAGACGGCCGCTATCTGGGCCGCTGAGAGAGGCGGAGGCCGGACGGGCCGGCCGCGCCGCCGTCCGCCGCCGCCGCCGCTGCCCGGTCGGCAAGGCCGTGTCTCTGGCTCGGCGCGGCCGGCCCGGCCCCGACTCGGCCGCGGCCGCTCTGGGCACCGGCCCGCCGCCGTCCGTATGAATGAACCGGCAGCGAAAAACACGCGACCGCAGCGGCCGCGGCCTCCGAGCGGCGCGGCGCGCTGACAACTCGGCCGGACGTCACCGCCGGCCGCGCCGCTTTCGACACCGCTCCGAGGCGCGCCCGGCCAGTCATTGTGGCGCACTGGAGTCACATCCGGCGTGGCCGGCGAGAGGTCGGGTCGCCGGACGCGGCCCATTGCGGGCTGGCCCAGATCGGTCGCTCTTCATCATAACAGAAGCGGAGCGCCTCACATCCGCTGGCTGTCGGGGAGAGGAGTAGTGAGGGTCTGACAGAGGGGAGGGACTGGAGAGAGGAATGGGAGACTGGCAGAGTGGGGGCAGGAAGAGAGCTCGGAGATGGGGCAGAGGCTAAGAGAGATGCCAGAGAGAAGAGATGACAGAGAGATGGCAGGGCAAATTGTAGATTGAGAGAGGGAGGGAGAGGAAGAGAGAGAGAGAGAGAGAGAGAGAGAGAGAGAGAGAGAGAGAGAGAGAGAGAGAGAGAGAGAGAGAGAAGAGAGAGAGAGATAAAGGGAGACGGCTGATAGAGTTACGGGGGTAAAAAAGCTGGTCGAAATAAATATTGAAATAAAAGATATGGCCTGTGGAAGCTGGGAGGGATAATTACTATAAGGAAATTAGTTAGTTCGAAGATTACCTACTTACTGTAAGAAGGGAAAGCTGGGAGGGGAGCCTGAAGTGGGGATCAATGAGTCTGATATCTGCTGAGGAAGCATGAAATGTAGAGCCCTACCAGTGAAGGAATGAAAGAATTACAGTGAATGAAAATGAATGAAAATGAATGAGATAAATAACTCTGAGGGTTTCGGGGAGATATGGCTGGAAGAGGTAAACGTAGGAAGGACGGCAGCAAGTGTATCAGAAAAGGGAAAACATTGGGAGGTGCAGGAGAGAGCACGAAGGGAATGCACGGGAGTCTTGCCTGGAAAACGATGACGATAATGGGAGCGAGGGCATTGGTATGACGGGAGTCGATCCGTGAAACTGAAGTTTGATAATAAACCAGTCATTGGCCGGGACCGGGAGAGACTGCCAGCCCGAGAAAGTACCGGAGTGCCGGCTCTGGAGCTGCCAAAGATACAGAGCTCGGCCGGCGAGGGTGGGTCGTCGGACAGAGGGAGTCTGGGAGAGAGTGGGCGCGACCCGCCCAGGGCAGAGATGGGCGGACGGTTCCGGGTGTCGGCCTCCGGCCGCTGCCGGCCGATCAATGACTGGGAGCGCCGCCGTGACCCGGCAGACGGCAGAGGCGGAGACAGGCGGCCAGGGCTGGGGAGGCAGAGGGCAGAGGCGGAGACAGGCGGTCAGGGCTGGGGGAGGCAGACGACCAGCGCAGCCATCAGAGGCGGAGGTGGAAGGCTAGCGCCGGGGAAGCAGCCGTTAGGGGCGGAGGTAGACCTCAGCGTTGGTGGAGGTAGACGGGTAGCTCTGGCAGAAACAGAAGCCCATCCCAGGGAGAGAGAGAGGCCCAACTTTGTAGTATAGTATGAAAATGGGCAGCGCTGGTGGAGGCAGGCGCCCAACGCCCAAAGCTAGCAGACCGAGAGGGAGCCCTGGAGAGGGCACAATTTCTGCGCTCTCTGCTACTGTTTGGAAATGCAAGACGAAATGTTATGAGAAGTCACTGGCGGATCTACGAGGATCCGTCAATGATCAGGAACAGCAGGACAAGGGAGAACGTTTCGGCTTGTGGACGGGATGGGCCTGGGGACGGAAGCAGCATATCTAAGCCCATGGACGGGAGGAGCATGTCTTAGTACATGGACGGGACGAGGCTCAGGGATTGGATGAGGCATGTCTCAGTCCACTGTCCAGGGACGAATTGAGGCTCTGGGACGGGAGCAGCATGGCTCATGAGATCGGCCGGGAACGTGCTGGGGCTCAGGAACGGGAGTAGCACGTCGCAGCCCAGGGACAGGAGGGAGCTGCGTGCCCCCCCCCCCCCCCCAGATAGGGATGGGGCTCGGGGACGGGAGCGGCATGTCTCACCCAGGGACAGGACTAGGAGGGAGCTATCTATAGGAATCTCGGAGGGAGCAGCGTTCCCCTCAGCCCAGCTAGGGCTGGGGCTCGGGGACGGGAGCAGCATGTCTCGCCCAGGGACAGGACTAGCTTGTCTAAGCCCGGGGACGGGAGGAGCGTGTCCCAGGCACGGGCTGGGGCTTAGGGGCCGTGCCAGGGTGTCTCAGCCTAGGGCCGGGCTGGGGCTCTGGGGCTCTGGGATAGAAACAGCCTGTCTCAACCTAAGGACAGGACTAGCACGTCTCAGCTTAGGGATGGAGGAGCGTGTCTCAGCCCGGGGACGGGATGGGGCTCATGGACGGCACGGGAGCAGCATGTCTCTCAGCCCAGGGCCGGGCTGGGGCTCAAGGGCGGCAGCAGGTCTCTCAGCTCAGGGACGGGCTGGGGCTCAGGGGCGGTGCCAGGGTCTCCTCAGCCCAGGGACAGGCTGAGGCCGGCCTGCTCGCCGGGTCCGGACACCAGACCGGCTGCAGGATAATAGGCCGAAGTTTGACTAACGCTGAAAGGAAGCAGTGGAACCGGTTCTGCCTGGTTCTGCATCCTGGAGTACGACGAGATTTGAATGCTAATTTCAGCAATCTTGTACTTTTTCTTTGCAGGACTTGCAGCTATAACGCAATTATCCGATGGACGGGTCGACAGAGTGCAATGCAACTCTGTGGATCTCATTGACCTGATGAGTACCACAAGGACGGCCGAACGGCTGGCCATACGACCTCACACTAAATCGGTAAACGGCGGGGAATCGCTGAGCAGGTGCGCCTGCTTGGTAGAGGCAGTAGTTCGCTAAACCGTCAGTTGTATCACGTATTGTTTCAGTTTAACGGTACAGGTTCTATGCGTCAGTCTCCATTCTGTTCCCAGTCGTTGGTTGCCATTCCATTCGACACACATTGTCCATTGTTCACTGTAGCTGTATTGATCACGTACAGCCGGTACATTTATACATACATGTACAGTTATACATACACACAACGCACTGCATTTATTTGTAATTAGCAGTACAACCAACAAACAACGTGTGCGGCAGGGGCGCCTGGGCACCGCCAACAGGGACTAGATAATACTGTATAACTCGGTTAAGGAAAACGCATCATCCAATACATGAGAGCGGCCGTGGGCTGCTGGTGATCGGTAGCGGCGACCTGACCTGGGGCGGCGGCTGACACACACTGTGTCCGGCTGCGGACACACCGCGGCTGTCCGCGGACACGGGCTGTGCCGGCGGACACGAGCTGAGGCGGACAGAGCAGTGCGGCGACCGGCGCCCAGCAAACGACAGAGGCAGACGAGAGGAATTAGCGGAGCACGGGAACAGGAGCGGGCGGGTCAGCGGGTTTTAACGAAACGTTGACTAGCACCTTGTCACGCGCAGAAAATTCTAGCTATCGCGCGAATAAATACTCCTTAGCAAATCTTGTACATCGCCGGTTTCCGAAGTAAACCCACCATATAAATAAATTATTTCTCTATAGTTGGATGTACAAAATATACAGAACATGCCTGCTGACTATGTAATATCCGATTGCCCCGGGTGCAGCCCACAGCGGTCCACCGCACCGATACCGGTCAACAGCCACCAGCCACGCTCTCGCTCTCGCTCTCTCACACTCGGCTCTCACCCAGTCGCTCACATTCCCTCTCGCCGCGCTGGCGCCGGCGTTCGTCGGCGAATCACAGATGAGCGGCCGCCCGGGCCGTCCGTCGCTCACCGCTGCAGCAGGCTGGTCGCCGGACACGTGCAGCCGGCACCGGTGCGCCGCTGGTAACACTTCTCCAAGAGTTTGACGCCGCCTCGCAGCGGCCAGTAGCACCAGAGACAGGGCAGCACGGCCGACAGCAGTCCCAGGCCGGTCCAGCGCAGGCAGCAGCCCGCGCTGCCGGCGCCGCACGAACACGGCTTGTCGGCGTCGCGCGAGCCCGAGTCCGAAGACGAACAGTGATAGCTGAGCGCCTTCACGCAGCACAGACACGACACACAGTCCACGCACGTCTCGGCAGAGAGTACGCACTTTTGGCCGCAGAGCAGGTGCTGCGGCAGCGGGCGCGGCTCGCGGCACGCCTCGCACCGGCAGCGGCCGCACACGGAGCACACAAACGAGTCGCGCAGGCTCGGCTCCGGCTCCTCGGCCGGCGGCGGCGGCGGCTTCAGCGGCACCGGCTGCCGACTCACCGGCTTAGCCGGCGCCGCGCTGCCGTGCCAGCCGCTGTCGCCGCCGGCCTTGCCGTGCGCCGACGCCGGTCGTCGGCCGCGCCCGGCGTCGGTTCGATCCCCGGATGCCGACGGTGTTGTTGAGTAGATGTTGAAGGCGCGCAGCTGGTCGGGTCGCGGACTCTGCAGTGTGACCTCGCGGCGCGCAGGGGGCCGCGGTGGCGGCGGCGGAGGCGGCGGCGGTCGGTGCACGGCCGCCAGCGCGGGCAGGGCGGCCGGGGGCCGACCGGCGGCAGGCGGCCGCCGTGGCACCAGCGCGGGCGGCGCGGCCGGCTGGCCATGATGGGCCATCAAGAGTTACACCCTCATCCAGAGAGAGCCATCGAGCCTCAGAAACCTGAAAGCAGAACCACCTGTCAGACGGGTATGCTCGGAATGTGTCACCGGGCATGGTCACTGACAGAAAACGGCCGCGGTGGTGGCGCGGCGGCGGCTGCCAGCCGCTCAGACACCACAGCTCGACGGAACACGGTTACTGTACCGGCACCACCAGCAGCGCCCACACGAGCGAGCCAGCAGTCCAGGGGAGCGCAGCCACCGGCACAAAACACGCGGTCGGCATCCCGTCTACACACGTCCGACTGACAGCGGCACAAGGGTTGTGGTGGGTCTACAACGGTGGTGAGTGAACGGAGAGGTGTCTGTTGGGGAGCAGGGCGATACGCGACCAATTATCAGACAAGATTCAGGCAAGACGCTCTGCACACGCAACACGCCGACAGACGCACTACAGCTCCCACTTAGACACTCACAGAAACAGGTGCCGCCGCCGGCCGGTGGGTGGGACCAGGTAAATGCAGAGGCCCGGGCCGGCGCGGCGGGTCAAGGTGAGTTAGGCGGCGCCGTGTCCCGTCACTGACGCCTCCGGTGTTGCCACGCCGCGCCGTGAGGCCCTCGGCGCTGCTGCGGCCACTGCGGCGCGCCAGGCACGAGGCACGGCGCAGCGGCGCGCCGCCCAGCCAGCTCTGTTTACATTGGAGGCCAGCGCCGGCGGACGGCACCACGGTCGGAAGCTGCGAGAGGGTGCCGCCGCCCGTCCCTCGCGCCGCCGCGGCACGCGGCACCCCGGCCGAGCGCCGGCGCCGGCATCTGTGAGCGGCGCCCTGCGAGCGACGCACCGTCCTCCGGGCGACGCGCACCATCTGGACGTGACATTCCGGGACAGTCCGGAGCCGGGCAGAGACCGGCGCCACGGCCGCGCGGCCGCCCCATAACGCCATGTTAATCGGCAGCGAACAATGAGGCTCCCGAGCGTGCGCCGCTCGGCCCGACGGCGGCCCGCATGCAACGCGCCGAGCCGCGCCGGAGCGGGCCGAGCGGGCGCAGCCGGCGCCGCGTGCCAGCCAGCCGCCGCGCCGACGCCGCCTGCCATCTTTTCAATGAGCCGCCAAGGCCGTCCGTCCGGCCGGGTGAGGGCCGGTGAGGTCGTGCGGGGCTGGGGGCCGGCCGGCCGACCGACCGGCCGGGCCGGTCCGCTGCCAAACGGCCGGCCGCCGCCGCCGAGCCCTGCCGTCGACCTACCGCCGCCGAGTCGGACCGGACGCAGCCGTCTGCCGCGACAGCGACTCGGCCCTGTTACTGAGAGATGGCCGGCCACCAGCGGGAGCGGGCCGCGCTCCGCAGAGGCGTCACACCCGGTCACGACGCTTCATTCAGACTCCCGGACTTTCGGAGGCCCATCTCTCTCGTGGTGCCACCGGCAGGCATGCATAAATGCATCGGGATGCATATATGCATCCTGCGGTCAGCCGCCGCGTCGCTCGACGGCGTGGCGCATGCGCAACACGGCGCTGGGTTTTCCAGCAGGCGGCCAGCGAAACGTTGCGAGGGAGCTCTTTTGAAATCTGATATTGTTTTCGGAGTGGAAGCCTCTAACGAGCTACATAGACCGAATGCCGTCCGGGTGCCTTCGTGAGGTCATTGGAACATGCAATGCCGAGCGGGTACCTGGGAAGCTCGGATGTTGGCGGCTAACTAGTCGGCGAGGAACCATGCGACCCACTGCAGTTCTGAAAACAAGCCTCGATTACGACACACAGGTGGATCTGCCAGACACCTGGGAAAGAAAATATTGAACGGCAAAACGATATCACGCCAGACAGACCACTCCACATTGTCAAATAGTAGCCCGGTGGTAAACGAACAAAGCATGCCTATCACCGCCTGCGAACGGCGTCAATGTTTGTTCCTGCACCTAACTCCTACACCTAGTTATATTGAAACAGGTCAATCGATATCAGTGTGTTGCGTAAGCCCATTTCCGTGACATTAATCCATCAATCAACGGCCTTCCCTTTGTCATGATGACATAGGTCAACAGTGGTGTCAAAGGTCCACTCGGCCGCTTCATCCTGCCTTGTCTAATTCGAGTTAGTCACCGGAGCGTCAGCCGATGTCGATCTGTCTATCTATCTAGTCATGCGGTCTGAATTTATCTAAGACCGACAGCGATAATGGTCACTTCAGTGGCAAGTGACGTCAAACGGGCCATCGACATCAGGAGATGACCGTGTGCGCCGGTCTCTGCACGACGCTGATCAAACAGTCGGTCCGGGTGTGATTCGTAGACTTCAACTTCCGCTGCTGGTGCTTGAATATAAAGAACGAGACCTCTCACTGTGTAACAATTAACCCACGGCAGCATCTGAAACTTCTCGCACCACCCACCATCTGTGTTGTCCGTCTGATAATGACAGATGAGCAAGTTTCGGCTCACTTTCTGGAACCAACCTCTGCCGATGATCATTGCAACGCGCAAATCATGGGATCTCGTGCCGCTGACACAATGCCCGACGCAATCACCGTCGACCACAGACTGAGGTCTGGGTGGATGACATTGAGCACCGGCGCGGCGGTGTGCTGGCGTAGTTCGTAGTTTTTAGTCCGTAGTTCGTGACACCTCAATATGGTCTGCCACCGACATCAGGACAGACACGGCATGTCCGTGCATAAAAATCGTTTTGCCACGACACGTGCGGTATAAAAAGTGGTTCTCGTCAGCTCATTTGACATTTGCCAACGGAGTGAATGGGGCGACCATCACTGAGTGCAGGCGTTGTGGTTTTCCCACACACGAAATACTGTTGCGTCAAAGTTACGAGAACGGCGCCGGTGACATCAGGTGGACGAGGTGTTGTCCGATGCGCTCGAAAGAGACAACGAATCAAACATAACGGGACGAAAACAATCCCCGGATCACCGCGCACCTTATCAGATTTCAATGTTAAAAGTAATCTGATGGCGCAACTCCACCGGAGCACAGCCAACACTTCAGGGAGAGCACAGCCACACAATCATACTGAGAACATAACAGCCACTTTAGCCGGTAAAGCTACTGCGCAGAATCCGTGCCAACGCCAACACGGCGGCGATTTATTGACTCTTGGCTGGCAGAGAGCGGCTCTGGAGCCGGCTCCAGTGCGCCATTCGGCCGCTGGTTATTCGGGTCGGCCGGGCGGCGGCGGCCCGGTGCGCGTCCGTTCCGCTCGTCCCGCCCTCGAGGTCACCGCATTCCAGCGCCCATTCATTGCGGCGGCGGCTCACACGGACCGGAAACGGTGCGAGCGCCAACGCTGTCACTGCTTTGTGTGGCACTGGGTTTGGATTTACCAGACACCCAGGCTAGCGAGTTTCCGGAAATGATCGCAGCTATGCGGAGGGTGTTATAATCACGCATGCAGTCGGGTTGGATTTTAAAAGATCGGCCAGAGGGGGAGAGGTGTTCACACGTCTGCAGCGCGGGGTCACGAGGGGTCGCCAGCTCGGCCCAGCCAGCCACATCTCAACATAGCGCCGCTCTGGCGTCTGCGCCGGCGGCGATTCGACATACCGCGTGACTGGCCGACGGCGATCGGCGCCGCAGTGAACAGGTCTCTCACGAGACGGGCATTCTGCCGGCGGCGGCGGTCGCTGCAGAGTCGCGCCCCAACCGCGACCGGCCGGCGGCAGCGCAGCCTCCGATCGGCGCCAGCGCGCGCTGCACCGCGCCGCGGCGAGATGCAGGTGGCGGTGGGAGTCGGGCAGCGGTCGAGGAATGCCGCCGACACTGAGCCACTGAGCCGTGGGAAGGCGCCGGCACAGGGGCACAGGTCGTGGGAGCGCACCGCCCCCGGCCAGCCGGTGGCCGGCCGAATGTCGGACATAGCTGCCGCGCCGGGCCCCGGAGATCGGCGCATTCCGCCGCTAGAAATGGACCAGAGGCGAGGGGCGAGATGGCCACATGAGGCCTCTGCTGGATGCTAGCGTCTGGCTGGCGGACATCAACGAATCAGTGTCTTCTGGTGAAGACAGCGAACAACACCCGCTACACGGACGGTCCTCCGTGTCGTACTTCGGACTCGGATAGTAACAGAAAGTCACGACCATTCATTTCACAAGGAACAATGTTTCAGGGTTTTCCAATTCGCGTCACTTGCACGACGACACTGTCCAAAAGATCGTTACACGAAACAGCACCCGAGTCCGATTCCCTGAACGCATGCAATTGACATACACTATTTGAATATTTGAATACATTTGTGTCAATGATATACAACTACTTGCTGTAGCACGGCAATATCCATAAACTACACGGCGCCAGCATCCGGGCCAGACGCTATGGTAAAAGCACTCGATACTTGCAATGTTATGTCCTGATGCATATTGTAACATCTGAATTCCTTTTCTGTCTAGGAGCACAGCGGTCACGAGCCGTGCACCAAATGAATGACCGGTCGTCCCGCCTGCACGGTGCTGTCACACACTCTCTGGGGCACGGTGCAGACAGCCGGCAGACAGACATATTGACAGCTGACTGATCCTTGCGGCCAAATCCTTCACCGCAGCTGCAGCGACATGACAAAATAAGTGTCTCACCAGATAACAGACACCGATCCAAGCCGGAAGAGTCTCCAGGGAGAAAAACGGCTGCAAATCGCACCGTACTGCCGAATCCGACAAGAAAACAGCGCTGTTTACAGGAGCGATTCCGGTACGTCGGCAAGGCGCGGCGCGGCGATTGACATGACGTGGTCGAGCGGTGTCCAGCCGGTCTCAGCGGCCGCAGAGGCGCGCGAGCGTCGCCTCGCGGTCGCGACATGGGCGCGAGAACATGTCACGCTCCTGGTGAGCAGTGTCACCATGCAGCGACAGACATCACCGCGAGAAACCGGCGGGGTACAGCCTGTCGCCCATGCTAATGTTGCGTGTTGGACATTCTCCACTATCACCGACGCGAGTTGTTCTTTTCCGAGAGATCTCCAACCAACACGAGACCTCGGCGAGGCGAGCTCGAGTCCAGACGTTGTGCCCATCTCTCGGCCTGGCCGGTGCAGGGCGACCCCGCGTGGCCCTGAGAGCGTGCTGGACGGGTCTGGCGAGGGCCGGGCCCCCTCGCGAGCCCCCCAGCGCGTGGTATCTGTGCCGGACGGCGCGCCTGGCGCCGGCAGAGCGGCTGGCTCGCTATCCGATGTCGGCCTCCTTCCGGAGCGCGGCTGGCCGTGAGGACAGGCGTGTGGGTCCGGACGCCAGGCGGGACGGACGGCCGAGGCGACGCCAGGGCCGAGAAGAGGGCGGGAGACGGGAAGGCGGGGTGACACAGAACACAGCGGCAGAGTCTGGTACATAGACATGCAATCGGAAGAAGAAGGGTTGTTACAAAAAGTGTGCAGAGGAAACGCACCAGCGACATACACGCATGGCATGAAGGCTCTTTTCTGAGAAAATAGGAGTAGAGAATGATGGGCCGTCCAGCCTGGCACATCAGCCGCGCTGACTGGCCGCTCTCGGCGGCTCCATCCGGTGCCGCCTGTCGCCGAGCCGGGCCGGGCCGACGTGAAGCCGGCCTTATAAACAGGCCGACGGGCGGGCCGGACCGGCCGGCGGGCCCCGTCTGTTTATTTGGGTTGGCCACCGGGGCGGCTGGGCTGTGTCAGCCGCCGCCGGCCGCCACATGGCCGACGCTGGGCGCGCACCGCCCGCCGGCCGCCGCCCAGAGCTCGGCAGAGCACGGCCGTGCCGACAGCGATAGTCGGACTCCATCGCCTCGCCAGCATTGCTCTCTAGTCTCTCCACCGTACCCGCCTTCGTCCCATCGCTCCTCGCTCTCCGTCCGGTCGCCGAGCACCCTCCCTCGCCCATCGCCGCCATCCCCGCCCGCTCGCCGTCGCCTCTCCCTCGTGCGGCGCCGCGCCCCATCTGGCCGCGCGGAGAGAGAGAGAGAGGGGAGAGGGCCGGAGAGAGGGCGAGGGCGGCGGGGAGAGCGGGCCGCCTTCAGCTCGTTTCCGGTGCCGCCGGCGGAGAGTGTCTGGGCGGGGAGGAGGGGAGGGGTCGGCCGGCGCGCGGCTCAGCGCACCGGATGCTGTGGAGAATGGAGGCCCGAACGAGCGGCCGCGCCGCGCCGGACCGGCCGCAGATGTAACGACCCGTACGGTGGGGACACGCGCTTCTCAGAAACCGGGAGCTAATGGACCGCGAACAGGTCCAGTGGCAAGTGGAGACGGTGGGTCCGAGGGAGCAATCAGTGCTAATTATCACGGCAATCAGGCACGCAGGCATAATCATGCCTCGGGTGTCCAATTATACACGAAAGGCGATAACTCTTATCATTTCATTTCAATCTACTTCCTTATTATTTCTCGGTAAAAATGAAATATCGATGGAAATGTTTCGATACTCAAATGGTGAATGAGAAGTAGTTTGTGTTGGTCGAGTTAACTAACTCTACAATCTGGGTAATTAACGCCGCACAAATGACACCCGATGGTTTCGATGAGTGACGGTTAGCAGAAATAACGACGTCCTTCGCCGGGGCGACGAAGGACGCTTATCAACAACCACCGACACGGCATCTTAAGCCGAGGTTAGCGGGCGCTCATTATCAGAGATGATAAATTCAGCTTATGGCAACGAGCGGGCAGCCAGCCGTCAGATCGGTGGGTGGCCGCAGCAGTCAGCGCGTCGGTCTCCGTGCTGGGCACGGGAGCCGCCGCGGCGCGGACGGACACCCTTCCCGCCCCGGCCCGTCAGGCGCGGACGGACACCCCCCGGCCCGTCAGGCGCGGATGGAAGTCGCCACGCCGCCGGCGGTCACTTGTATACATTACACGGTATACACTGGACTGCACGCTGTGTACGACCATCGCCGACATGCCACGGAGGAATGCACAGCCGGACATGTCGGCTAGAGCGTGCTACGTGTGTCGCGCACGCCACAGAAATGTACACCACCGGAGCATCACACAGACGAGCGCATCGAGACGTGCCTACCCGGAGAATGCACAGGCGAAGAATGCATGCCCAGACATACCACGAAGGAATACATGCTGAACAAGTCTCAGAAGGGTACAGACACGAACACGCCAGCCCTTTGATCATTTCTACGGCATCACTGTCCCGATCCTAGGAAACACAGCCTACCGCCCATATCCACTGTTCCAGTTCTTGGAAACTGACAGCCAACCACCCATATCGTCTGTGCGACAGGACGCCTTTGCTGCTTGTCTATCTGCGTACTTTATTGGACTGCCATGTAGTACTCGACTACGACTGCAGCCAACAGACCACTTTCCCAGCATCAATTGGCAGAAATCGAGCATACACATGTTCGGGTGATCCAATCTATTGTTTTGGCCTCACAAATATGTTAGGATCGTGAAAGATAAACAGGCACAAAAACTTCAAAGGCATCCGTGTCAATCACTTTGGATAGCTGAAGCAGGAAACAGTCGGATTCACACGAGCTCCAAAGGTTGTTTCCAAGGACGCGAGTTAATGCGATCTTGCAGATCTCGGGAAATAACGTGGCATCTCTCACTGTTCACACGGCCGCTAAACCCACCTGTTTAATGAAGCTTGTAGCTCATTATTCCTCATCCACAGCCCTGAAACAAAACAGAACAGCCGTTACCTTTTGCACACTGGTACCGAGTGAAAGGCGGTCGAGAACCAACTGGAAGTTTCACTGGCCCCCCAATCTACGTCAGAGGCGGCGTACACAGAACCAAGCGGCGTGGCAACTACCCCGAACAGCAGGACCGCTGCACGGCTTCTATTTATTCTCCTTATGGCTCAAGGAAACACATCATTCAAATCAAGGCCGTTTGGCCACATAACAAGGGTTAGGACCTGCATTGGCAAAAATCCCACACAGTTGACCGGGCCGGCGAGGGACCAGGAGGGGGGGGGGGCGGAAAATCCGGTAACACCGCTCGCACCATTGAAACTCAGCTCGGTGAGGTGGTGGAGCCTGGGCTCTAGCCGAGACGGCCGGCACACGGCAGTGACGATATCCATTCGACACCAGCCGGTGGTGGCATCAGCGGCGCCGACAGGGACGCGAACAGGAGGAGCGCAGGAGGATAGGCTCAGAACGGGAGCTAGCGGGCGTGTGAACAGTTTGGTGCCACAAGGGAGTACAGTACGACATGTTCATTAACAAGCGCTGCAAAAATATAGTAAGATGGAGAGCATTTGTACCCGTGTTCTTCAGAAATTTTAACTCGATGTGCACCGTGCAATTTGCTGCAAATAATCAGTAAAATTGTGTGCTATTCTGCCGTCCAATGGCAAAAACCATTATGTTAGGTCACAGGTCAATGTAACATTATGGGTTTTGCCTTTGGACGGCAGTATTAGTAATACATCACACCTAAAAATCGTTGAAAATTGTTCATATTATTTGTGAAAAGTTCCCACTCCCTCCACGTAAAATCTCCCGGGTGTGACCGAACTGCATGCCGCCCCTCCACCGCAGAGCCACTGAGCACGCCTCTGGGACGGTCTCGGACCCGGAGCCGTGCCGGGCCGTCGTCAGCGCTCGGGCCGTGCTCTTCCGAGGTGGCAGACCGGGCCGGACGTGCCTTCCAATGCCGACTGAGCAGCAGCTGACCGGACCGTAACTGCCGACAGTGCTGGTGACCGGCCGTGGAGGGGTGGACCCGGACCCACCCGAGGCTCGACGGGCGGACCGACACCGCCCGTCACGCCACCCCCAATGTGAGCTAGCTCAACCACTACAGCAGCTATGAAAAACAGCCATCGCTCAGCACAAACCTGAGCCGCCGGCTAAACTCTGACGACGTGCTGCCAGCTGGCTGCCATTAGGGCAATATTTGATGACGAGCTGACCACACATTTACGCAGTCCACGCACTTCAAACTCCCGCCGCACTTTAAACTTCAAACAAGAACTGACCATCATCTCCGTCATCATCTCATGCACGCCCTGCCGGACAGCGCGGGTGGCCGGGAAGCCGCAGCGGCCCACAGTAGCCGCGTTCATCGCCAGGTGGTGAGCAGCGGGCACGGCCTTGTCGCCCCGAGCTACCCCGGTGAGGCGCCCACGCGGCGCGGCGGCGGCACCCGCCGTCTCCAAGGCCGACCGGCCGCGGTCGAGCCGCACGTGCGTGCCTACTGAGCGAGGCCGGGGCGGGTAGGCCGGGCGACTGGACTTGGACTGGACTGACCCGTCACTGCCACCTGACGCGGCCGGGTCACCCTTCACCGACGGCCGCGCACACCCAACTAAGGTCAGACAGACAGACCGGAATCCGTAATTTACCTGTTGCATATCGTGCCGCCGTCCAAATTGACAGCCACGAAATGGCCTTGCTCAAGAGCTTTGAAACAGGTATGCGATTCGTGAGGCCGTAGTTCAAACTGAGATTGGGTGGGTTAGAGATGAGTTGATTATCGCAGACCAGCTGGTTATGATAGCTCACAGTTGCATCAGCAGATATTCGCCCGCGCAGCCCAGCGCTCTCAGACCAGATGGACGAAGCCCGGGCCGCACAGAGGACTGCCAGATAGCGACCTGATAAAGTTGCCAGATCAGAACATCTGACCGGAAGTTACCAGCTGGCACGACACGTTCCATCCCCCAAACATGATAAGAAGTACCGCTACATAAACAACTGAAACGGCCCACGGAGAGCCAGTGAAAGCCTGAGCCATCTCCGGTGGGTCGGCCGAGGGCTGCTGACCACGCGATGACCCTCTGTTGACCTCTGACCCGCGGCTCACCCCGCGGCGGAAGGTGACGTAGGCTCGGCTCGACTCGGCTCGGCCGGCCGGACAGCCCAGTGATGTGGGGCGCTCCGGCCAGCGGCGGACACTCCGCGGGGCCCCCGACGCTCCGTCAGTCTGTGTATCGCAGAGCCGTGTCCACCCCGCGCTGCAGGCTGCCCAGCCGGACCGCCGCTGTCGTGTCTGTATATTTGCACAGCTCCCGACATCCGGCGTCTCGTATATTCGCCCGCTCCGAGCTAGGATGACGTCGGAGTTCGGCCGACCCCGAGGGCAGAGGCCGCGACTCCCTGAACCCCGATCAACCCGGGCTGTCCGGAGACTGCCGGGTATGAATCGCATACCACCTCGAGTGTAAATCATGGATGGATGTGCTTATCGCCGCGCGGTCTCTGCTCATTAGTTAGCGTGTTGATTGTGGCCGCGATTGCAGTTCACAACTCATTAACAACATTGTCGTCTGGGGGCCGTGCGGTCGGCGTGGTGCCCGAGTGTTTAGACAAGTGACAGCGCGCGGCCAAACACGACCACTCGCAGCGGCCGATAATTGTGCATCGGGGCGATCGGACACGACGTGTGGCCATAAATCTCGCTGATAGCGACCGGCAGTGGCGAGCGGCGCTGCGGATAACACAGCTGCCACCTCGTGTTTTGTCCCTAATCGCCGCTTTTATCGCAAACGGTGGGCGCCCGAGAGAGCGACGGACGGTGGACGGTTGGCGACGGGTGGCGGGCGGCGGGCGGCGAGCGAGGGCTACGAGCGCGGCGGGCGGCGAGGGCTCGACGGGCGCCGAGCGAGGGGCTGCTCAGGCGGATGTTGGTCCCGGTGCCGGTGACTCGGATTACGCTGCGCCGAGAGGGAGCCGAGGGGAGCGCGGACCGGGGTGCACTTCCTGGCGGGACGGCCGCAGGAAACGGTGACCGACGGCGGCGCGTCGTCAGGTGGCCTGTGGGAGCCGACCGAACCGGACGGGACGGGACGGCCGGCCGGCCTCACAATCAGCCCCGCCGGAAACAATCACAGGATGTGGGGAGGGGCGGGAGGGGAGGGGCGGGGCGGCCGCCAGCCGGACTGCGGCCGCGGCCCGCGCCAAAAAAAGTCATCAAAGGCTGTCTGACCCCGCCGACGTCCGCTATCCTCATTAGGAGGAGCGTCCGACACTCGCCCAACTGGGGAGGGGGTCATGACAAATCGCCTCAACCGCAAAGGCGCGTGGGAACGGCCTCTGTAGCTGGGGGGAGGGGTACATCTACATACCACCAAAGGTTGAGATCGCGGAGGGGCCTCCTCAGGCTCAAGCTGTCCCTGTCGGGCCCAAGTATAGTGAAGCCAAATTGACAATATGCATGGCGACACCACAACCAGCGATAGAACCCTGTGTCCTGTCCTGAGTGGCGCCAGGCGCGCGTCCCCGGACACTGACAAGACGTGGCCCCGTCGCCGGCCCCTGGCGCGTCGTCACTGCCACAGCCACTCGCACATGCCAACATGACAGGTTATCGCCAGGGGCCGGCGCTCGAGCGGTGTCCGCGCCCGCCGCTGTATATGTAATGGCCGCGCGGCGGGCCCACGTGACTACTGCAGTCGTGTCGGCCGCGCCGCACCGACACCATCTTGATAGCGTGTCCGCTCTTCGGCGAAGTGTCCTCTCTCTGGGGCCACATTATCGGGCCAGTGAAATGTTATTACCATTTCGAGTGGCTGCCGGTGTCGGTTTCCGGCGGGGCTCGGCTTGCCACGGACCGCCGCACCGCTCAGCTCAAAGCCTTTCAATGTCCGCGCTCCGGCGCCGAGCGACGACCCGTTTCTCTCACCTCCTGACGTGGTGTGGCATGCCCTCAGGCACAGCCTCTCTTTAGAACGTTCCGGAGTCGCCGTGACCTCGCTCCGGACAGGTGAGCGGTATTTGGGTCGCACGCGGACACGCCGCTAAATGCGCATCAATGAAGTCCGTGTTGAGAGTCCGATGCAGAACAAACATTGCATGTCGAGCGGCCGGCCATCCAGTTGGCAAGCACCGAGCTGTGGCTTTAACACCAGCGATACTGATAGCCCGACCACATCACACGACCGCTACTTGGGATTCCGGATCCAGCGGCACTGTTTCCACAATCACCGCTGTCCGCTACAACTCCACAAATGTCAAGGCCTCGCGCCCCAGTCTGGGCCAGGCCGTCGGCCGTGCCACAAATCGTCGAACAGAGCACCAAATCCATGAGGACACCGCGCCTCCGTTGCTAGGGCATCTAATGACAACTTTAACCCGGATGCGGGCGGTGCGGACTGCGGAGGTCGTCGGACAGATAAGCTGCAGCCTGCAGAGCCATCGCCTACTGATGAGGAGGCAGCGCACCGAGCGATACCCGGTCGGCATCCGCTCCCCGATCACGATCGGGGGACGAATGGACGGTCAGTCGGCCTTGGTGGAGCCTACTCGGTCGCAGACCTGACCCAAACTAGCCACCGGGTCATGTGCTCACAAAGCAGCCACTTATCGATTCGACTATCGGCTGCACAATGGACGGGTACGGTATAGAACGGAACCATTATTCGATAGGTCATTGCCAAAGAGATTGGGAGATCTGTGCATTAAAATCAACAGAATGCGTAAAAGAAAGGGATATATACATACAGCATCAGACATGTTTTACTGAATGAAAACACTGAAGGAACAATCCCGAATCGTATGCACAGTGCACACGATATTGTCATCATTGTGGTATATTATATAATCCAAAGCAGAAAACTCTTATGGAAATACCAGTATGCTGAATATCTCAGTAACTCCCGCTGAGTACTTTTTAGAGGATTGATACCGGACACAATCGAACAGTCTCGGTCGCTGACACTTCCTTCTCTGACAGTCATTGCTCTCTGTCTCCAGAAATCCTCTCACGGCCCGACCCGGCCTACTAATCTGCGGCGGCGGCGGCCGAGTTTCCCTGCCTTTCCGGCGGCCACAAAAGATTTCCTGTCGTTTCTCCGTTGGCGGCAGTTTCCTGGCTCGTTTCTCCGCCGGGTGCGGGCGGCGCCGGCGGAAGCTGGTCGGTCGCTCGGCCGGAGGTGCGCCGACCGAAGGTCGTCGAGCCGCCCGGCGCTCCCACGCCGCCGCCGCCGCCGATCCATGAATGGGGCCGGCTGGCCGCGCGCCGCCGGAACAGTTACCCACGGTGGTGGCACAGTGACGGCGGACGCGGCGCACTCTGCGCCAGGTTAGCCGCCGTCAACAGCGACTCACAGCTGGTAGGTTGTGCCAGCCTTCAGTCCTCTAGCCGGCACGCCAGGACCGAGCGAGCGGGCGGCGGTCGAGCGGCCACCTTATACGGCCGGCTGCAACCGGCGCGGTGGCGCTCGGCGCAGCGCGATAAAAACCAAGGCTGTGTGTATTGTTCGCGCGCGAGCTGCTGCGCCGGCTGGACAGGCAGGACCGAGTAGCCCGACCGGCCCGTGCCGCCACACCAGGCACCTGGCTATGTCCACCGTAAAGTTATGAATGTAGGCGGGTAGGAGGATAGGATCCTAACATGTCACCCGCCTGACATGAGCATGAGCTCCATCAATGGCGACATCGTAACGATCGGCTGCTGCTGCTGGTGTGCGCTATTCTCCTGGACACTGACGGGAAACCACCACTCCATCAAATGACACAAAAACAACGGGCTAACACCGGCGGCGGGAATCGACGCTTCACCCGAGCGGGCGCCATGAATGATCGATAGTCAAGGCTGGAACAAGGACAAACACACACCGGGCCGGGCCGAGCCGGAGCCAAGGTCGGGCCTGTGCCAACCGCCGCCTCCTCGCCGCTCGTCGACAGGCAAAAACGCCTTCGCCGGGCCACGTCGGTCCAGTTCCGCGGAGGAATTACCTCCAATGGATGCGGGAAGACGATGTAGCGATACGTGTTCAGACGTCAATCCGTCTCATCAGCCAGTGCCGAGCCCTAGAAGCATGACGAGAGCATAATGTTTCACTGCAACTATGGATGAATGAAGTGATTTCCAATAAAACCGAGCAGCCACGAAAAAAGGAGTCGAACAACACTGCTGCACCTCTTGTACAAAGCGATGAGTTGCATCACACGAGTAGATCGACATAAAAAATTGTGTACCACCTCATCCATTTTCAGTGAAGTGCCCTGCTGAGCCGGGCGTAAGCAGTTCAGCGAGGATCATACGACACACGACACCGGTCTCGGTGAGGTAAGTTCAGGTGAGCAAGGTGCGGTGAGCGAGGTGAGGTAAGCTCTCGGTCGTACGGGAGCGGCCGACACGCCCCGGCCCGTGTCTGTCGGTGCTGCGGTCACCACAATCTGGTCAGAGCCATTAGTCAAAGCCGAGACAGAGCGACCACCCATCCGAGCCGGCCGGTCTGTCAGCGCCGTGGCGCAGGAGACTGCAGGCCGCCCTGGACAAACATACACAAACGCTCGGCGGCTGCCCAGCGTGATACACGGCACGAAAATACAGCGCTGTGATGCAATGAGCCGGCCGAAAGGAGGCTAAAAACTGTGCTCAAGATAAATGAGTTCGTCACACTTTGGAAACACCCGGTGAGTAGTCCATACGAAAATAAAGAAATTCTGAAACCGGCTGAACAATGATCTGCCATATGTCGATAAGCCAGCAATGTCAATCATTCTCGCAGCAAACAGGCATTAAATGTTTCTCTTTGTGGCAGCCCTGTCCATTGTAGCGTTGTCCCGGCAGTGACAGGTGTGGCATGCGGTTCCCACTCTGTTCTTGGTTCCCACTCTGTTCATGGTTCCCACTCTGTTCGTGGTTCCCACTCTGTTCGTGGTCCCACTCCGTGCCCGGAAGCCGACACGCTCTCTCGCCTGACAGTATTCCAAGAACGGACAGCCAGCAGCCAGCAGCGCGACTCGAACAGGCAGCCGAGCAGGTCTGTTTACATTCTAGTTAGGCGAATTGGGCCAGATCACTGGCTGGCGTGATTAGAACCACACGCTTCGGCTTCACATGACCATAGAAAGAGCCGAGCACGCTAGAGCCAGATACTCAAAGCCGGACGACTGTGTCTGGAATGAGTTTCATCAGCAACTGTGTCTAGCTGTGAGCGTGCACTGGGCTGAAAAATAACTTGTATCCGCTAACTTACAGTACCCGACACTGTTGTTCCGTGTCACAGCAGCATGTATAAAATCGATAAAGACATTACATTTGCCATCTTGCCTTTTAATTGAAAACTTCTAAAAATTGCGGAGCGTTCTCTCACGTTCTCTCTACGAATGTCAGGGACGCTTTGCAGCGACAGCATGGATAAATGTCGGAATCGCGTGCTTGAAAGAAACACAAATATAGCATCGCTTTTTGAAAAGAGTGAAGTTCGATAGTTGGAAGTTTGATAGTTGAATAGGTAGTGATAGACCGAAACGATAGTTTATTGGAAACTGACATTTTTTTAAGGAGATATCGAAGTAGAGATAGTGTGCTGACACCAATGTTGGTAAATTCACTAAATTCACCGTCGACAGGTCGCCATAGCAAAGTTTTTGTCAGCAAACTTAGGTATAAGTTTAGGCAATTCATATTGAAACACATTACACAGCTACGCCAAGAGCGCTTTCGGAGGTGTAAATAAGAGCATAAGTCGGTACAATTAAAAACAAAATATAATATATGGACAGAGCTGGCTCCGTCCTTCCGGACAAAATATCTCGAATCATCCCAAATGTCCTAGTATGTATCTGCTGGGTGTGGCTCATCTCAGTCTCGCTATCAGCTGCGCTCCGTCGCCGTGTCGAGGCGGCAGCGGTGGCGGCGCCGCCATGACGGCATGTGGGTCGCGCAGGTGCCGCGGGCAGCGGCGGCGGAGGCTGCGCCGACCGGCCGTCTCATCTCCAACGCAGCAAACATGGCTGCCGCGCCGCCGCCGCCGTCCGTCCGTCCGCCCAGCCGGCCGGACGGCGCACACCGGCCCACGCCCGATGGCAGAATAAATAAGCGGCTGCTCTGTCGCCGGTCGCCGTCTCCGCGGCCCGGTGGCTGCGCCCCGACCGGCCACAAAAAGCGGCCGCCAGTCGCCAGATGCAGGCGGGCCGACCGGCGACGGGCCGCGAGCGGCAGCCCCACAGCTGCGTCACATCTGACCCATATCGACGCCCCCGACAGGTCAATGAATGAGCCAACTCACACAGGAGCGCTGAGGGGAGTACAGGGCTGGGCTCCCGCAGAATCAGCGACGGCAGAGCGTCGGAGACGACGCACCGCCACCGATCAATACGGATCCACCGGACGGTGAAAGTACTGCGGGCATAACCGCTAAATCGGCCTTACAGATCACAAACCATTCATTCCAGCAGCCACAACTCACCTTATCAAAGCAGCTCCTCTATGGCAACAGGTGTGTAGCCAATATCCAAGGCAGCACAAATCGCAATTCAACGCAATCAGCAACGTAGCGGCGACAACGTCCCGGCCCTCACCACACGGCGGCTCCGATGCGACTGAATGGGGCGCCGCACGTGTGCCCGTTTCCGAGACGGCCGGCCGTGAGGCTCCGCCCCCGTCGCTATGGCAACCATCGGGCGAGCGCGGTGCTGCCGCCGCCGCGGCCGCGCGGCCAGCGAAATCGCTCCATTCATTCATTCGGTATGAATGAAATTGTATGACTTGGGCCGGAAACGGGCGGCTTGGTTAAAAACCGGCCGTCACGGACTGAATTTAAACAAACGAGGGAAAAGGGAGTCTGTTGAGCGGCCACCGGGCGCAGTATGTGGCGTCTGGCGACACAAACAGCAGTCGTGTGTCGCGGCGGCCCGGGCCGGCGCCGTGCCTCGTTCGCACCTGGCCCCCTCGGACAGGCGAAGGGGTCGGTCCGGGGGGGAGGGGGCGTGTCGGAGGAGGCGCCAGGTCGGGTATTGTGGCGCCCATTAGTGGCCGTTTGAGCGGACCGGCAGGCGGGGAGCCGACAGCGCAGTGGCCGCGCCGCACCATCCGATCAATACGGACAGACAGCGGCGGACGCCGGACGGGGAGCCGGCGACCGGCCATGGACTCACGGATTCCAGCAGCCCGACAGCGTCCCTTACGGAGCTTATGGACTCACCAACTCAGCAGCCCTTACTCGATGGACGTATGACTATGGACTCAAAGCCCTAAATTTATCCAATTGGCTCACGAAATCAAAATGACGTCAATGAGAACGCGAGCCCCCTTGCCTTTGGACTCACGGACCTGACGCAGCCGCATACAAGACTGTAAAATTAGGTACATAGGATTGACGGGTCTGATCCAGCCACCTACATAGGACTCACGGACCACCTAACCCCAGCCACCTATGACCTACATAGGACTGACCGACCATTGGACGACCAGGCTACTTATATTGGGCTCACGTTAGTTCGGAACTAACCCAGCCACCTAATATAAGACTCACGGAACTGATCCACCCACTCACATAGGACCCTCGGAGCAGACCCAGTCACTTACATAAGAATTTCCAAGTCCTCCCTCAGGCACATTAATGGTTTTCAAAAATACCCTTTTTCATCCTCCGTTGGGTAAATGCTGTTCAATTTTGCTTTTCTGAAGAACTCAAAAACGAAATTAATGCGAAGACATTCTACGATGTTGATGGCTCAAGCATGCGATAGGCATATATGTGACAATTATAGGCGCATGCACAACCTGAGCACAACACCAAATACTTTTGTATGGTACTGTTTATTATTCAAGAAGCCAATTATTTCATTATATAACATTATACTAATAATGTTTATTATTCAAGAAGCCAATAATATTTAAGAAGCCAAGTGAGAACATAACGTACCTGAATCAGAATTCCTGTTGATTAAATCAGGTAGGTATTAAAGTAAGCAATAACAATGAATAGTTTTATGGATTATGTATGAGATATACCTACGTACGTATCTAAGTTATGCGAAACAAAGCACAATTCGCTATGTTATCTTGTAGCTATCAACATTATAATGGTGATGATATGTTGATAATATCATTAGTCACTTTTTTCAATATAACAAAAAGTCATATGCATGAAAGTATACCCTTGCTTGTACATAGGTTCTGACTGGGGCTTAGGCATAATCAACAATGTGCACACTATTGAACTCAATGAGCCTTTTATAAGCCAAAGATGCTTCTATAGGTCAATGTAACACACCCTTCTAAACCTGCAACTGTTCAATACAAATAAATGTCAAATTTTAACAGCTGCCTGTTATGTGCTTCCAAGAAAGTGTGTATACTTATGGCATATCTTGTGTGGGGCAATCGGCTAATTTATTTATTTGTTGCACATCCTTCCATGCAGGCATAGTTATTTCAGGATGGCACATGATCAGGGAACCACTATGCACAATGCACATGCACTTTCCTCGACCCGCGTTCGAGTTCACTCAAGAGGAGAAAAAGAGAAAACAGGACCAAGGCAACACCTTAGACCACTTCAGCATCAAACTATACATTTCGTGGTGGCCTGATCGCCCGCTTAAAAACAAATATGCTGGACATGCCTTGGATCTCTCGGGGCAGCCGGTTCCATGCCGAGCCAGCCCTGTACATGAAGTGTTTTTGAGTGGCAATAAGCCGCACTTTCGGTAGGTGCACCTGCTCTGTATCTGTCAGGCGCGTGTCACGAGTCGCCACATCACATCGACGTTTGAACATGTTTTGTACCACGATTGGTGCATGGGGATCGCAGATTGCGCGGTGCACCTTCAGTTGATCACGCTCCTCCACCAGCTCGCCAATCCGTGACCAGTGGAGCGACTTAAGAACTGGTGTGATGTGATCACGGCGCTTCGAACCGGTCACCAAACGAGCCGCAAAGTTAATCATTTTTTGCAGTCGCTTAAGTTCTTTGTCGGCAGCTCCGCCCCAAACTGGTAAGCAGTAGATAATTTGAGGGAAGATGTGAGCTTTGATAATAGTAAGCAGGGCCTCGGTAGTGAAGCTACGCCTGAATCTGTAAAGCGAAATCAATATGCTGTAGCAACGGCGCACAACTGATGAGATGTGTTGATTCCATGTTAACGTCTGGTCAACAGTTACACCAAGAAGTTTGATCGTTTTTGAAGAATGAAAGGTTCTGTTTGAGAACGTGAAAGCGAAACCAGATGCTTTTTGAAGCGAGTTTCTGGAGCCAAGGAGGATGAAATCTGTTTTTGATGCATTCATTTTTAGAGAATTACTTCTAAACCAGTTTTGAACGGAAGCCATTGACTTTTCTATGCGCTTTCTGAGCTGTGACAAACTCTCACTGTCTGGCGGCGAGCTGTCGAGGAGCTGCGTGTCGTCCGCATAGCAAACCAAACGGCCGTAGGGAAGATGTCCCGGAAGATCTGCCACAAATATGCTGAACAAAATAGGTCCCACAATAGATCCCTGAGGAACACCGAAGTTCACAGGACAGATCTTGGACCCACCACGTACCATTTGCCCCCGTCCGCTTAGGTAACTGTCGAACCAATGTGAAGGCACACCCATCCATGCCATTTTTTTTCAAGAGGACGCCGTGGTCAACACTGTCGAAGGCCTTACTGAGGTCGATCGTCGTTATCGACGTGAGCTCACCGTTGTCGATCTTATCAACGGCCCACGATACTGCGTCGAGTACGGCGTCCTCCGTGGAGTGGCCACGGCGGTAAGCGTATTGACATGCGCTCAGTAGACGGTTGTCATACAAATAATCACTCAACTGGGTACACACTACACGCTCAGCGATTTTAGACATGACAGGCAGTAAAGAGATAGGCCGGTAATTACCAGCTACACCACGGTCGCCAGCCTTATGAATAGGGACCACACAAGCTATTTTCCAGCTATCAGGAAACACACCAGTAACAATCGACTTATTAATCACATGAAGCAGCAATGGTCCAATAACGGCGAAGCAGCGACGCACAGCTAAAATTGGCACACCATCCATACCAACAGCCCTGGAGCTACTCATGTGACGCACGGCTGTTGAGAGCTCCGGCAGAGTGATAGGCGTCAGCTCAAAACCGGTGGCGCATACTACTGGGGGACGATCGTCAGTCCCCTCAGCCTGACCAGTAGACTGCAATTCAGATGCAATTTTGGTATTAATAAGTATGATGTGTATTGTATCGAGAGTACATGAACCTCCAGGCTCCACGAATCAAACTATTAAAACAGTTACATTTAAGGCGCCTTAAATGTAACTGTTTTAATAGTTTGATTCGTGGAGCCTGGAGGTTCATGTACTCTCGATACAATACTTGTCCATTTATAACTACAAGTATGATGTGATTGGGTCAAAACCATAGTGGACGACATATGAAGTGTTTCATAAGAGCTAACTTTCTTCTCCCGGTCTATGTGCGCACTATGACTCAACTGCTAGCGCTGCACTTCCGGACATGATATAACTTCAATCAGATCTGATAAAAGCCTTGTCAATCCGTTTGCCCGAACGGTTTTCAAGCGGCGCCTTCTGAAGATCAGTATCTAACGGCAAATCCCGGCCGTCAGGCCTTGTTGCTCCACGCTTTCACGTGTAAGATCAGTCAATGTGTTCGTGTATTTCCTTTTTAAGAACATGACCAATATCGGTAGGTAAGAGTCTCGGAAAAAAACATCGCAAAACATTTCTTATCTTAGTTCTCTTCAGGAAGACTTTCAGCTTATCGTATTTTTGCCAACTGTCAGCGTATAAAGTGTTCTTAAACGTTCGTTTTAAGCGACTGGTATACGAGTAACGCTAAGGACTAGTGGTGTCAATCGGTTACCGAAAATTTCGGTTACCGAAACGATATGCTGACCGATTTGGTAATCGGTCGGTCAGGCCCCCCAAAAATCGGACACTTTCGGTCACCCTGCCAGTGAAACCATTTTCAAAAAGAGAAAGTATTCCACTTTTGCCTAGTTAAAATGAAATTTATTGGGATGTTAATGATATAGTTGCAAAATTTTCCCCAAATGCCAAATGCCACATATTGGCAACTTCATTAGCCATCCCACCCAGCAGGCAGCAGCCACCCATTGTCCAACCACAACTACAAGCAGGCTGACTTTGACTCAGTTGGCCCCACACGTACACACAATTTTGAAACTCTATTCCAGTCTAAAACTGTTAAAATTTCACCTGTAATCAAAGAAATATTGCCTACAAAAATCATTATACAGTCATCAAAAATGCAAGGACAAAAATAACTTGAATTACTGAAATGTGTTTCTGAAGACTGTACAGTTAGCACTCAGCAGTGATCACATTTACATTTCACAGGTGTTCTGCTATTCCACATTCTCCTTAAACATTGCAGGTACCAACCAAATGTTTGAAATATAGATGACAACAACATAAAAACATAGGAATCTTGACAATAACTACAGATTCGGCCCATGTCCGATTTCTGGAATCTTGCACATTCCAAACCACTGAACTCTATAACGTTCCAAACACAAGGTGAAGGAAGGATTTCGAAACGGATGCGCCATAACAGAGACTTTAAACCAGCTGATTAA